GTTGCTTGGGGCAATTTTTTCCCCTCGTAACGGGACCTGGTGGTCTCCTTGGCCATTTCGGGCTATGGGATGTCTAGTCTGGCTGCGGCACGCTGACACACGGCCTGCAGGTCCATACTCAGACAGGGCGAAGCTGGTGTGCTATCGCCTGGGAGAGCAGCCATCGCTCCCGGCGTTGCAGCCTGAGCCGATGACATGAAGACGTTGTCTTCCTGCTCATCAGAGTCGGACAGGAGGAATCCAGAGGCATCCTCTTCGTCCTCCGTATAGTCCAACTCCAGGACATCTTCTGCGGGCGAGACCATGGTGAGGTCCAGCCGGGAGCCCCAGCTTGGTATAGCGTGGGGCCCCGCTCGCACAGTCCCTGCCCTGACACCTGACAGCGGGACTGCGGTTCTGCAGCTGCCACTACTAATGAGCCCCAGACCGACACAGTGCAGGGCTCCATCTCTGTGGCGGACGCCCTCGTGGCCTGATTTCCGTCCGGTAAATCAGAGGACATGAGGGAGTCCTGACCCGACAAGCAAGCTTGGCGAGCTAACCGTCGGCGGAGGCTCTTCACGGTGAAACGGGCACAATGCCCGCATGAACCGGGGTTGTCGATAGCCTCCTGGGCATGTTGCAGCCCGAGGCAGGACGAGCAGACCTGGTGTGCGTCTGTGTCCGAAATCTTCAACCCGCAGCCGCAGAGCCGAGCCTCCGATTCCCTGGCTCCTCTGGTGTGAGGGAGAGACGTGTCCATCTTGTTCGCCATTATGGCGTCGTGGGAAGGACGCGCTCGTAGCAGGTGCGTTGTCGAGAAAAAAATCCTCTCCAACCTGTCGTTAATCCGGAGAAAAGATGACGGTGTAGGATTTATTCCCGAAGAATATTAACTGGTGTGTTAATATTCTTTCTTAGTCCTATTCTTCTCTGGTGTGAGAAGAAAGAAAAAAGCGTCCTCACTATCGTGATGTCGGTAGCGAGGAAGGTAAGTAACTAACACATTTGACGAGACACCACAATCTGTATAGAATTTCAGTCAATCATTTAGCCCAAAGTGCTTTACATTGCAAGATAAAAGAGCACAAACAAAAACACAAATACAGAATATTCCAAGAATAAATAATCACAACGATAACATGTTAATATAAAGTCACTACAACAAATAGATACCAAGGCAACTTAAATGTAGGGTAGGTAAGAATGGAGAAACCAGCTTGAGTAAGCTACAATTTGAAAGTACACCACCGAAAAAAATCTGCCCCTTCCTTCAGACTTCCTCACAGAGCCCCTCCTCCAACACACACGAACGCGCACATGACCAATGAGGGCACGAGATAAGTTTGTGCATGAGATGGAAGGCTGACAGGCAGGTAGGCCATCAAATTATCTGCCGTGGGCCAAGGCAGATAATGAAATATTTGTATATGTTTATTGTCAAAGCATTACATGTATTCATTGCTATTGGGATGTTAAGAGCATTCCATGGAATATAACAAAAAGTGTTTCTGAAGTGAATTACCTACCCCACCTTTAAGTAATACGTAAAAAAGGTATGTCTTAAGGTTTTAGTTTTAGTATGAGTATCCTCAGATGTGGAGTCCCTTAGATCCTCAGGCATATTCTTTCAGAGAATAAGGACACTTGATGCTGTCTTCCCTATGCTTTTTTGTTAAAGTCCTTGGGAAAACAAGGAAAATGTAAAGCATTTGAGGAAGTTGCTAGGAGCAAATCTAACAAGCCTGAATGATGTGAACAATTTCTCGACATACTCAATCACCCCAAAAATGTCTGAAAAGTGAGGCCAGGTTATTCAATGATTTTCAAAATCTTTCAAGCATTTGTAAAACTTAGAAGCCACCAATGTAATGGTGTAATATGACTTTTAAGTATGAGTTAAACACTTTCAGAAATGTGACAGCATATAAATAGATGGTGTTCTCCCAATCATCTTATAAAGAATACTTTTATTTAAAGCTGGTCCGATCAATATTTTTGGTGTGAAGTATTGATTTAATATGTAATGTGGAAGGTCTTACTTGCAGAGACATACCCACACAGTATTATTAATAATGGTGAGTTTTCAATTTGAGTGGTTACCCCCAAGTGGGCAATTAAAAGAAAAGGAGGTTTTCAGTTACATAAAATAGTGTTATAAAATAGACAAGTTATCTGTTGCTGCCAAGTAGAGGATGTTAGGGTGGGTTAGGCCTCACTTCTCACTTCTGATGGGCCTTTTATAACTGACTTATTTTAACTGAATTACTTAAATCATGCCATGTATATAATGTAAGCCTAACCCTATGTCATTTACCTTACAAATACATTTTGTTGTCTTACCACATTCACAATGAAGAGCACCTTTTTGTTTTTATTCTCCAAAAGTAATTTATGTTGTTTTGGGAGTCATTAACACATAACATATTCGATTGTTTAGGTATGAGAAATGTTGTTTTACTCCAAATAGGGCAAGTGTAAGACTGTCACTTACCAAAGTTGATAGTTGGACCCAAGTGCGAAACCCAGACAAAGAGGCAGGCAAAGTTTAACGGGTTTGTTGCAATCGTGACAATGGATGGTGAGAAGTTAAAGAGTGGGCACGACTAGAGACAGCAGATATAGAATGGAGAGCAACTGGGCTTCATGGCTTTGCTGAGAAATCTTTGGATAGTTTGTTGTCAGAAAGAAAATAATCCTGGAGCACTGGGAACAATCAAGCATTCGGAAAACAAGAACTCAAGTTATACCCTCTTGAATTACTCTATTGTTGGTGGGATGGTATCTGATTATAAATTGCAGCTACACTGAAGTGTATATGTTCTGATGACTTAAAAAGACTGATGCATCATTGACCGATTTCAATGAGTCACCCTAACCCTTACCCAATACTAAAATAGTTGCAATTTTCCATGACAGACTAAAATGCCCTGACTTTGGTCAACTAAAACTTGCCTAAAATAACACAACTTGAAGGGAATTTGACATAAAACTAAGACAAAAAAGAAAAACAGAAACAATTAACAAAATTAACACTAGCACAAAGTTGGTAAATTGATGTGAGGATGTTTGAGGCAAATGTATAATACATGAGATAAAAAGGAGAGCAAATTGACTAAAATAACAAAGAACTACAGATTATGGCGAGTTCATTCAACGATACACAAACTCAGTCCCACATAAACATTTGGTGTGTTGGTTTCTAATTAGCTTACAGCTAAAGTCATTAGTTGTTTTGGGAAAATAAACATGGTGGGGCAGTCAAATTAGCTTGAGGCAAAATGTTGCTTTGCTTTACCAAATCCATCCAGTGATGTTGTCCGTGAAATGTGTTGAGTTAAAAGCTTCTGAAATTATAGTAATTGGACCTTAATTTTAAATTGTTTTGTCAAAAAAAAAATAAGCAGCAGTAATTTATTGAATATAAATATTTAATTGTTCCTCAAGCTCTGGGATTGTTCGTGTCTTGTGACACATTTTTAAGAAGACACATCTGTCTTGTCAAGTTACCACGGCACCCGTGTTGCTGCCAGGAAGAAAAAAAACCTCTCCTCCGACACTGCCCCTCTGGGGTTCTCTTGTCCGTTCTGATTGACCTGATGAGAGGCTGGTATCTCAGGTATCTGAAACACACACACACACACACACTGGACTTGAGGGAGGAAGACACTGAGGTCAAGTGTTGTGAGAAACCTTGGATGCAAGAATGTAGACCTATTTCCTAAAGGAGAAATTGGGTTAGGGTTGAATAGAAAGATGCTCAGCGGTATAAAATGGACGAAAGATATTGTAGAGTGAACGGAGTGTTTGGAGATGCACTTGTGTTTCATTGGCTACGCTGCACCCATCCATCTTTCTCCCCCCTCTCACCTCTGCCTTCCAACTCCAGACCGTCCCCTATGTGGACGTCTACCATAATGAAACAGGATGTGTCTGTGTGGGTGTGAGTGCGATGGCGAACATGCAAGTGTGTGACGTGTGTGGTAATGAATAAGGATGTGCTGTGTGTGGACCTGGTCGTTAATCACTGGCAGTGCTGGCAGCTAACAGATAAGCAGATTGATCCAAGGCCACCGAGGGCACACACACACACACACACACACACACACACACACACACACACACACACACACACACACACACACACACACACACACACACACACACACACACACACACACACACACACACACACACACACTGGCTAAAGTGTTTGAGCTCAGGATCATCTCTGACCATTCATGTTAACATCTGTGAGAGTTACAAAGCAAGCTAAGAAGAAAGAACAGAGAGAGAAATACAGACAGACTTTAGAGCTGCGACTGCTCACCTGTAAATCTCAACTTGACATTCGTTTGTCTCAAAACACACACATACGAACAAACCCACACTAACAGATACACATGGTGAAAGATAAGGGTCTGCGCTTTGGCCATCCAGAAAATCCCATGGGGGAAACGGAGACCTGGGAGAGTGGATGGACGGATGGATGGATTGTAGAGGGGAAGACAGGATGACAGGATGACAAAACAGAGTTAAGGACATGCTCCAGTACTATGTGACAGCTAGGCGGGCCCACAGGGAGCGACGGAGCCGAGAGGAGGATAAGGAAAACAGGGAGAAGAAAGCCTGAGAGGAAGCAGTAGGTCAAACATCTGTGGTTGCCCTTTTCTATGGCAACCATCACATGCTCAGTGGTGGGAAGAGAGACAGTGAGAAGAGTGAACCAGGCTGAACTTACTTTCGTGTAGAAATCCTTTCATTTAAAAGATAAAGAAATTAGAAATGGCATATTTACATAATATTCACACCATGACGAAGGAAATGCGCTCCAATTGCATATTATTTTGATTTGTTGGGCATGAGTATGACAGGCTGTATACTGCATTGGAATTAATTTCTACATAGTATGTGAATTTCTTTGTATGCAAAATTACTGAATTTCTTAGTTGGAGGCATGAACTAACTGGACATACTGTATGGAGCCAGAATTGGTTCAATATTCTAGCTCGCAAAACAAGCTACACACGTGCATAAAATGACCCTGGCGCGCAGATTAAACCCCCTGCTCGCTCGCGGGAGTTTCAGCAGGAGTCTGTCTGCACGTGTGAAAAGTTTCTGACACTTTAGGGCGGAGCCACTGGACTTTGATTGACAGCTGCCAGGAAGCACGGAGTTGCCAGGTTTGATCATTGCCTGAACTACCAAGAGCTGAGGAGTGACAGCAGCAAGATTAGTTGGACAACATTTATTGGTGAAGTTGTCCATAAAAACACTATTATATTCGTAAAGTGTACAGCTAATATATATTTCACCTTTCTTAAGTGATTTTCTCTTATTATATATATATATATAAACACAATAAATCTACCCTCGTGGGGGCACGCTCATGTGATTGGCTTAGAATTGAGGAAACATCTGATTGGCTATAGATAGAAAAAATTACAAGCACGAATCGGCTGACGATCAGGGGAGTCTCAAAAAACCCACACACGAATGCACTGCGATCCATTCACAGAAAGCGGTTTGTGTTTGCAGTTTCAGAGGTTTTAAACGGAAAACAAATATGTGTGGATCAAAAATACACATTTGAAACTTTTTTCTGTGTTTGGGATTTTATTTACATGTATATGAAACGGAACACATTTGTGTGTGCATTGAAAAACACAAGTGTGAATTATTTTGCGGATCATGAAATACAAGTGTGAATCCTTTTGTGTGCATGTGTGTATTATGAGACTGTTCTGAGCCCATATCAAACTGCCAGTTGTTGTTGTTGTTGTTGTTGTTGTTGTAAGCCTTTTAAAATTCCTTTCATAATCTGTAACATTCAGAAAGCCAGATGGAGAGGGTGTAACACGTGGGTCATAACCGAAAGGCTATTTTTATTTTGTCATGCTAAACTGTGATTTAGTTTTTTGGCAAAGTGTACCACACCCATTAGACTTTTTGCTTTTTTCCCCGACTTGGAAGTTTGACCAGCTCTGCCCTGTTAATGGGTGACACCATTCCTGCTTGGACTTCGTTTATAAGGAGGGTTTAAGCTGCCAGGGAAGGAAGTGGCTGCATGTCATGAATCATGTGATGTCACTGGCTCCACCTTTTTTGCTCCTGTTAAATCACATTCAGGAAATGGGAATTTGTTTCGTTGTTGACACACACACTGAAGCTGAACACTTTACAGTGTATCAGTTTGTTTCTGTGTGTCTTTTCTATTTGTCCTTTATTTTTGTATAACTCTCTATGCTTTCCTTCTCCCTGTTTGTCGCCTTAGGCTCTGAAAGCTCTGCAGGACATGAGTCTGTCCTCTCCTTGCTCCCTTCCTCCTCTCTCCATGCGTCACAGCAAAGCCATCCCTGTGCAGGCTTTCGAGGTACGTCGGCACACACCAGCTACAAACGTTTTATTCATGGTTCTCTCTCTGCAGGGTGACATCATTGGTACTAAGGCGGTAGTTAATGTCATTTGTTCTTATCATTTGACATTTCTAGGATGTGCATCACCTTAAAACTGAAACTGTTTTTCACCTTTTATCTTATCAGGGAAATGTGACGCAATCAATATATGAAGTATCGAAGTAAATACTTACATACTTATTAATAACATACTAAATTATCTCAAATGTCCCCCTATGAGACATCAACGCTTTTTCCACCCTATTGTCAATTTCGGTTCATGTTTTAATTAAAATAGTTCATATTTATATTACAAGAATAAAAGGCTGCAGCAAATCTTATTCTATAAAATCTTGAGTAGATTTAAGACTGAGGCAAACCTGAGATCCGTCTGAAGCTTGTTCTGATTTATTTAAAGATACTTTTCAGGATTGGTGGTTTCGTTTCAGAGAGAACAGACTGAACCTGAATTACAGTAAACGGACTATGAAGTCATATATTCCTCAGCACACTGCAGGAAGTTTATCATCAGACCACAGGAATGTTTGTAATGCACATCCTGTGGCATCATCAGTGGCTTTATCGGAGAACATGACATTTGTCCCTTTTGGTTTTATGCACTCACTCGCACAATTGGTATTCAAGTAAATGTGGATGACTGAAATTGTGTCTATTTGTCATAAGATTTTGAAAGTGTGCAAAAATAATAGCTAACAGACTAAACAAACCCAGAATTCATAGTATGATGGAAGAGGTTAAGAGAAAAAAGATGATAATGATCATTTAGAAGAAATGGGGAAAAGTGTTACAAAGAAGGGAGAGGAGGTGAAGGGTTTAAAATATTAGCTGTCAGCCAAGTCTGCATCCTCTGTGGTGACCTCCTTTCAGCAGCTTCCTGTTGCACAGGAACAGAAGGGTTGTTACGATGAGGAGATGGGTTTAAGATGTGGCACCTGAATTCACCCACTGACACAAACAAACCGCGTTAAGGCTTCACATGATGTGACTCAAAGTCTGAATGGATTCTCTATCTAAATGTAGACAGCTGAGAGTTGTGTGTAAAAAAAAAAAAAAATCTAAAGAATCAGGTTATTGTGAGCAATTATGAAAATCCCTGCTTTTTTTAAGAATTCTTATCTTTCTGACTTTTTATAACTTAAATGTAGGACTCTGTTAATTCCTCAGAAGCGGCAAGCTTGTTTTGTGTGTGATAACAGTAAAAGAAGAGAGGGCAAATGAGCCAACTACGTTCATTTTGGAGACCCCTGGTGGTGTGAAGGATTTAAGATTATAAGAAAGTAGAGAGCTCTGTGGACACTTTTGCTAAAAGCACCTTCAGTATGTGTGTTTTTAAATCCTCCTCCTCTGATCCTCTTCAGGTAAAGCTGGATGTCTACCTGGCGGAGCTGACAAAAATAGGAAAGAGTCAGAAGTACACTCTGTCAGTGGACGTGGAGGGAGGACGGCTGGTAGTGATGAAGAAGGTGAAGGACAGCCAGGAGGACTGGACCACCTTCACACATGACAAAAGTAAGAATTACACAAACACTCCATATAAGTCATCCGTACGTGTCCCACCCCTCAGAGTAAGCAGCTCAGATAGTAAAGTATGTCGTCTTGTGATCAATTTTGTTTTTAGAAAGCCACATTCATCAAATGTGTGTGTAAGAGCACCTCTACTCTTTTACTTGATGTTTTTAGAGGTAGTCTATATTTGTTGAGCTCGATGCCTCCTGCCCATGCTGTGTGAAACCCTGATGTCAGTTTTAGCTTTTAAATAAATAGGTTTAAATGTCTCTGTTTTATGTCTGTGACTCCAGTGTAATTGATGTCATGTATCAATGGATCCAAGCCTGTTTCAATATAGTTTTCCTCATGGTATCATAACAATTATAAATGAGGATTAAATGGAAAATAAACACGCTTTTTTCGTACAATTTGTATAGTCTATTAACTTCATTTGAACCAACTTGAACTCCATTCATTCTACTCCCTGACCTTGCTTTTCTTTCTTCCTATCTCTGACCTTCTGTCTGTGTGTTTGTCTGTCTCAGTCCGTCAGCTGATCAAGTCTCAGCGCGTGCAGAATAAACTGGGCATTGTTTTTGAGAAGGAGAAGGACAAGAGCCAGAGGAAAGACTTCATCTTTGCCAGTGCCAAGGTCTGCACACACACAGTCACACACTGCCTCACACATACATTTGTGGAAAGTATAATGTTTTATTCATTCAAAGTAACACACACTCACATTTTGATTTCTTAAATGTAATAAAGTTGAGGATACTAACAGAGCCAAGATTTGGCACAGACCAACAAACAAATCTTAGCAATCAATTCAGCTTCAAATGACAATATGATAACAAAAACGAAAGGTAGTTGTTTGCCTGCTTTAAATGAGAGAGCTGCTAAGGAATAAACAATATCATGTGTTTGAATGTTAAATAGTTTAGTGAAAGCACATGAAACTTAAATGCTACTTAAAAGCAAGGTGCCCTTTTGTGGCAACTTCCTCTGACGTGTGTGTGTGTGTGTGTGTGTGTGTGTGTGTGTGTGTGTGTGTGTGTGTGTGTGTGTGTGTGTGTGTGTGTGTCACAGGCTGGGTGTGATTGAGGAGGAGAGGGAGGAAGATGAGAGGAAGCTGAG